TTAGTTACACTTTAAGTAACACAGCATTCATTTACTAATTACTATTGTCATCTGCAAAAATATAAATCAACAATTATTTCATATCTTCAAACCATTAGTTTAATTTAAAATTTAAATAGGAAGATAAAATAAGCTATTATCGTTTGGATTTATTTTAAATCTAGATTGAAATTTTTTACTTTTAAACACAATTTTTAATTCAGACAAAAATATATTTTACTTAAACATTTTAGTTTCTAAGGGAAAAACAGAAAATGAAATAGAAAAAATTACATAAATCATATGTAAAAGAAGATTTTTTTTTCAATAATAATTTACTGTCTCTTTTTCTGCCACAAAATTCTTTTAACACAATACTTAATTACCGTTTACCTAGTTGAAATGTTATGCTATGGCAGAGTGCCTGTTTTGTTGGGGTACAATTTGAACAAACTGTATGTATATAAATTCTGACTGTCGTCCGTTTGGGTGTCTGTCACTTCTTTCTGAATCTCAGAAACGTGAAAATAGAAACAGGATTTGAAAATCAAAAATGGAGCAGGTCTCGATTAACTGTACACTCACTTTCGATACAATCAGAAAGTCATGTTATACCAATTGTAATATTTTCCCCTGAAATGAGTTCGATAGATAACCGGTAAGATTCTATTGCTATCAGAAAAGTATGATGTAAAGAAACAAGTCTCTACTAATTTTAAATAGAAAGCATATGTTCTCAATTAAATAAATTAAAAATATTATTAAAAATTGCTAAACGGCATTGTGACGATGTCACGATAAATGATTGCTCATTAACATTAATTTGTTTTGTACCTAAACAATAGTTAGTTCACAATGTATATATTATTGCTAGTATGAGCTCGCGGATTTTTACGGGCCTCTTAAAAATCTAAATTTTCTGTTAATTATCTTTGGAAAAAACCCGAAGAATTTGAACTAGATCGGATTTTACCGATTGTAATAACAACTAGCTGGGAAAGTTTACACTTAAGTGTGAAGAATGCACCGTCATTGTCAACAACAGTCAATGACGTGTCAGCTCTCTCGCGACAAGGATATAAAAAAAGAGACCACCGGAAGCTCGGGAGTTAACTCACGGAGGTTATATTGGGTCATAGTGATTTCAAGTCTCCCGCATCGGTAGAAGACATCGACCAAGCCCAACTCTGTCATAAAGAATTGTTGTCGCCACATATAGTACTTGGAGGTAATTATTTTGAACCATCGAACTCTCTCTCTACGCATATAGAAATAGTTGTTAGAGTAAACCCTTTAGAGAAATGATAGATTGTATAATCGCCATAAGCGTACTTATGTTATCCGCATTTATTCTTAGATGTCGCCAACCTATTGTAACCTTTTGTATTGCTTAGTTATTTATATAATAAATGCTTGTTTAGTTTTAAACTTGTCTCCTGTCAATTAAGGACGCCTGCCGACTTACCGACGCACTCCCCACTCGATTTGCCCTCCTAGCCATCCAACGACTCCGAGATCGGGTTTCATCAACCCGTGCAGAGTAAGTGGTCATTTGGGAATTTAACAGTGGCCCACTGCTTATCTCGCACCAGTATAAATATTTTATCTTGCTCATCAAAAATTTAATTTTATCTTTTCCATATAATTACTTATCATAAATTTTTATATTTTTTATTGAAAAATATAACAATCGACATAAATTTTATAAAGAAAATTTTATTTGATAAATGTCTTTGTAGGTCCATTATTGCATTTTTTGTCATTTGGATCATACTTGCAACTGCTGTGGAAATGCTGCTAAAATCAACAATCAATTCACATTTTAAAGACAAAGGTAAGATATTACATTTACATGATGAATAGTGTTAATGAATCTAGTGGAACAATTCGAAAAATAAGCATTCCTACGAAAAATAATTAATCCTTTATTAGTCACGCATACTTTTCATTTAATTTCGCTATAAGTTAATTTTTGCAGTCACTGTTTGTTTTTTACATATTTACGTATAAATTAAACTTGCCTGTTTAGAATGTATTAAAACAAACAGTTATAACTTACTACCTGTTTTCGATTATATGTCGAAATATTGAGATCATAATCGATTTTCTATTATTTTAAAATTGCAAATTTAGTAAATTCACAGAAAATTACTGTAGGATTTAAGCAATATTTACTAAAAATTAAATTTAAACTATTGAAACTGGCGGAGGGATTGCCGAAAGTGTAAGGTTATCTGGTAAAATAACCTCTTATGTTTCAGATATATATCATTTTTTCTTAATTTTTCCACAATATTAGGTATAGTTGAGTCTCGTAATATCGCGAGCTATGACTTATAATCAGGAGAATATTATGGATTTTTCTTCAATAAACAAAAAGCTTAAATACGTACATCAAAACAGAAGACATTTCTTCTTAGTGATATAATAGTAAACAATACATGATATAATTTTTGTTGTAATTTCACTTATTCACTTTTTTCAAAGTTAAAATATGCACACTATACAATTGAAGTAATATTTATTTCTTTTACGTTAAACAAATTTTTAATTTTAATAAATTCAAATTTGAATATGTTTGAGTTGATGTCTTATATCACGTTATATCTTCTAATTAATAAAGTAATTTTGTATTTTTAGTGAAAATTTTAAATAAATTCTTTTTGGTCTCTCTCAATACGTCTATGAAGGAATTTATGAATGTCAACATTAACGAAAACACGAAATGGATTTGTGCAGTAAAATTTTTTATATTGAATAATTGTGTGTTTTATCATACAATGATTTCTTTATTTGGATCACCTTCAGTAGGTAAGTAAGTAAATTTACATATTAAGTATTAAATTGTAAGTTGGTAAGAAAAGTAGAACTAATAAAAACAAAAGTTATTTTTCAGATTGTTTTCGTTTTAACTTTTACTATTCTGTTATATAACAGAAGGAAAGTATGGTCATCTGTCAAAAATTACTCTATAAGATTTGTATATTTTTGACTAAGGGACTTTCGATAAGTCGAGAAATGGGAACAAATTTGGATATTATCTTGTATATGATGGATGTTAGTATTTGTGCCACGATTTTGTTTATCCTGTTTGAAGTTTAATAGTTTTTTTTATTTTCTTTCAAAATTTCTGAAATTTTATACAGAGGTTTGCGTTCTAGGGTGTTCTAACGATGTAAATTTTGATACGTAACGTTCATTGAGCTAAGGAGAAAAAGAGGGCCGTGTGCATCTCCAGTATGGTCGTACTTAATGACGACTTTACTCTTTATTCACACTTACAATTTTTTATAAAATCCTACGTCAGATATTTGCCATTTTATAATAGTTAAAAATATAGAATTTAAAAAAAATAAAGCATGATAACAGATGGCGTTACCAAATGTTACCGTGAAAGTTAAGCAATTCGTTGCAGGATTTTTTGCAAAGTAAATTCATTATTGCATTCTTCTAGTCTTCTGATATGTCTTTCTGCATTCAATGAGAAGACTGGTTTCTGAAATACTAGCGAAATCGTTAATCAACGTTTTTTATATGATCAAGTTAGATTCTGTCTTCTTTAAATTTCTTCTTTGTTATGCATTTTATGACACTTCATCCTTTCTTATAGGAATTAAGTTGTTTTTTTTCGTCTATTCTTCATTCATTACTCATCTTTTGCTTTTGGTGTTATTATCGTCATATTTTTAAAGCATATAATAGAATATTTCAACAAAGTGAATTACTTCTATGGTGTTCCTGGTAGTTACATTTTGTTTATTTAGAGCAAAATACACTTTCTTTCGAATACAGGATTTTCGTTTAGATAGTCGAAAATTTTGCTATTTAAAATTTGTTTCGTTACCAGATCATTTAACTAAAATATCTTATATATTCTATTGTGTGTTTCCTCGTTATTTTACATAGTTGAACATATTCTACTGCTGAATTTAGATGATATTAATTTGTCTTAAATTATCTACGTTTCTTCCTGTTTTTAACGTAAGTGTTTTTCTAGCTTTCTATCTTTTTCAAGTTGTTGTAAGCTTCTGATTAGTAGTCTGTTAATTTCTGTAATATTTATACTTTCATACTGCTTTTCAAAATCTCTAAGTTCATTTCTTCTGTGATTTATTCTTAAAAAGTAATTCGTAATATACTAGTTTTGCATTAATTTTTTTCACTTCTTTATTAACTTCCTCGTATAAGCCTTTTATGTATGGGAACTGAATTGATTTAATGTCTGTTTGTTTAGGATCTATTGCTTGCAATTAATGTAAAACTAGTACCGACATATGATAAGCTACTCTCTAGATTAAGTGCAAAACAAGTTAGAAAAACAAATATACCAAAAAAAGAAAAAACCAAAACCGTAGTTTATAAAATACCATGCACATGTGAAAATACTAAATTTTATATAGGTGAAACTAAATGTAAAGTTAAAGTAAGGTTGAAAGAACATATAGCCGATTTGAAATATCGAAGACTAAATCCTGCCTTTCACGAACACTGCGTTTTAAATAATTGTAATATTGATAAAAAAAATAATATAGGTATTCTACACAAAGAAAAAAAAAATACATATAAAAGAAAATTTAAAGAAAGTATAGAAATAATCAAAAATAAAAATCCTAGCATCTCCATAAGCGAAAATTAGTTAAAAATTTTATCTTAATTTACCAGCTTCAAAAATGTGTTATTATTGTAATCACTGTGCTAATTTATAATAATAAATATTGAACTCTTAAATAAATTTAAAATAGTATACAACTGTAAAATTGTAATAAGTTTCAGATAATATGTAAATTTATATTAATTGATAATCATGTTTACCAACTTTAAGATATTGTATTATTATTGTGGTCCATGTAATAATTTATAATATTAAATATTAAAATGTTAAACAAATTAATAATCATATACAACCGTAAAACTGTAAAACTGCAATAGGTGTCAGATATGCAAAATCATATTATATTGTGGATGAGTATCAAACGAAGTAAGGATTTTACAAAACTGATTTATGAGTGGAAAGTATAATCAATTGTGTACCACATTAGTAATAGTTGTATCCAAGGTATGTTTTAGATCAAGATAATTTTATAAATTCTACAAAACTTGTGTATAAATTTATATACATATATGTATTGTATACTCTTTTAATATTTTAGTTGGCTTGAAATGTTAAGAATAAGCTGATGTCACTTTAATTTATAAAACTTGTATGCACAGGTATGCTTTATATCACGATAATTTTATAAAATCTACAAAACTTATAAATTTTTTCTATATATGTATTGTATACCTTTTTTAATATTTTAGTTGACTGGGGAGGGACTTATGAGCCCGAAACATGTAATTTTTTCACACGTCATAACTATATAAAGATGAGAAAAACCGCCAAGTGTCTTAATTTATAGCACTTTATTGTATTAGAAGCAGAAAGAGTTAAATTTATTATTTATATAATACTCACACTAGTTACTTATGATGTTCTTCCAGTATTTATTTAATAGATATTTTTTAAAAAGCTGTTTTGTTTTTGTTTCAATATATTCTTGCAACGTCGTTCTATTCAATGTTTTTTTTAATTCTGTCAGAAACGTATTTCTCTTGATTTCTATTGAGCAATTTGATTTATAGTTAGTTTTTTTAGTATTACATGATTTCTCTTACGAAATTATAGTTTTTTTTTTCTTTTTTGATGGTGATGTCTAAGTAATTCATTTCCTGATTATTTTCCTCTTCGTATCTAAACTTTAGATTATTATTTAAGTTATTTGCGTATTTTTGACTGTTTTGGCTGTGGTTATTTGTAAATCATATATTATTATAACAATTCGTATAGTAACGAACACCTTTAAAATGTTATATTTTGTAATCTATTACAATCATGCAAGATGAATGCCATTTTCGGTCCGATAACTGAGCCCTTTGCAATTTCGTTAGTTCGCTTGTAAAAATCTGTAGAAAGTTTAAAATAATTATTTGTAAAAACAAATTCAATGGATCATACTCGATTTTATATCTACACTTATTATTCAAAACGATTGCTTGATTTGATGTTGCAATAGTCCAGTAATTAATTAATATGTATTGTTTATACTATATTTCGATTTAGTTATGTCCTGTAAATAATTTTTTAAAGATAAGTTTCTAAATTATACAATATAGAATTTCTAAATTCAACTAGAGGTCTACATCTATTTCCTGGTTTGTGCATTTTCAGTCTTACAATTAAAACGACAAGATTCGATGACCTTGGTACCATATTGTAATATACTTAGTCACATTGTAATATTTTTAAATGTAAAATTAATAGAAATAACGTAAACATTTTGTATAAAGTAAAAATTTGATTAAAAAGACGCATAATTGAACATTATTGTATAGAATGTTATGCAAAGGTAATAAATTTAAATAGCTGTGTCTCTGTAGATGAATGCTGAAACAATATAGTCTATTATAAAAGAACTTCTGTGAATGGATGGTTGTATTCATTGATTAGGCCAGTGCGAGGCGAAATGCATATGGATAAAAACGTAAAAATAAATGTTTAGTATTTAATTGTTATTTGCTTTATTTTGCCGTAAGAAATCTGTCGAAGTCGGATTAGAATGAGTACAATATTATTTGATAAATATTCTAAAAATGTTTTGTTTTTGGATTTTTATTGTTTTTAGATATACTGTAACCGATCCCATTGCTTTTAAATTCATTTTTTAATATATATATTTTATAATAAAAAAAATAGTCGGTTTACTTTCATTAATTTAGATTATCCCATTATTTTAAATAATTAAATATTTTATTACTGTCAAAGATATATTTTAAAATATCTACTTATATTTATAGGAAACTTCCGAAATATTTTTAGTGTAATGCGCAATATTTTTTTCAAAGAAACAGCACACGGAATTATAGCGGTAGAATTTTTTATTTTCATCAGGTAATTATATAAAAAATTGAAACAATTATAATATATCTTTTTAAATAAATTATTTAAATAAACTTATAATATATATTTAATCAATATATGTGTGCAAAAACGTATTTAAAATAAATTACTGTCTTAGTACCGTAAGACCCAGCTTAACTCGGGGGATGCGTTCCTAGATGACAAAGCGCCAAACGAAACAGCGTTAAACGAAATCATTTTAACATAGAGTAAATAGGAAAAGGGAAACAGGCGACCATAAATAAACAGATTTTACTTTAAGTTAGTTTTATATGAATTTGCATAATAATATTTGTTAATTAAATAACACATAAACATATGCACGCACAGAAGTAAATTTTACTTTTTGTGTCAAATTTCTATGAAATTCTTGTTTTTTTTTTCTTTCGATAAAGTCCGTGTTTCATTTGTCACTTTTTTTTTCTTTAACCAAATGTCGGTAACAGAGCATCGCATCCAAAACTCTCGTTTTGCTTTTGCACTTCTTTCAAAATCTGGATCATCCACTTCAATTTGATGAACGATTTCGGTTATCGTTACCAAACTTTTACTAAGGAAATCTGTAGATTAATTTTTTGGTTTTTTGTTTTAGAATCTATATTTTACAGTGTTACTGGAATTTTTCGTTCTGCCAGTCCCTGAAGGTCGTCGTTGGTAAGGCTCACACCAGAAAATTGCAATAACTCCTCAATATCCTGCTTGTCTACATCTAATCTGCTGTATCGAGTAGGTTGACAATTTGATCAAAATAACGATGCAGAAATAGGCTCTTCTCGTTATAAATTATTGGATACCTTCAACAATAACTTCATCTACATTCCGTTCATGCATTCCTCAGTTAATTCTTGCTACGCGAAGTCGATATTGCCTAGGGCATCCATGGTGTTAAATTTTTTCGAAATTGCACCAAACATAGATTTAAGCTACGACGAATTGCTGCCTTTTGTTGATTGGTTCGTTTTCGAGTAATCGTATTATAAACAAATCAACGAAATACCACGATAATTTGAATGAGCGTAAATTTTGAGCATTTTTAGACTTCGAACATACCACGTTATGTCGAATCAGCGTAAATCGAGGCAACGTTAAGCGGGGTCTTCCTGTACATTAAAATTATAATATAACGTTTTATAAAGCATTTTGTTTTATTTATTATGTAGTGCCTTTCTAATAACTTACCTACGAAAGAACAATATTCAACATTCTACATTGTACTACGTTGTCTTTCTTGTTAAAAGATACATCAGGTTTAAAAATACTTTTGAAGTTAATAAGATAATTTATGAAACTGAAAATAATATTTATTATATGAATTATTCTTTTATATATTATAGGTTGACTTTTATGGTTCTTTGTTTTGTGGCATTCGCAATAATACTACCTATTCTTCTGAATGATTGCAATTGGCATTTCCTTATATACCATGTAAAGATTGTTGAACTGAATTGGTGGAAATTAGTATTACACATTTATAACTTTGAAAACAATTTCTTTCTTACAGTAATTTATATTTAGCTTCAATCGAATTTTATATTAATGCTACATATAACGAAAAGCATTTTATGTACAAATCCTATTTGCAGATAATTCAGTACGTGTGGATAATGAATGCAACTTTACAACTAAATATCATTACTGCACCGATATTATTCATTCTAGATAGGTAAGAAAAATTATATAATTTTACTGCAATTAATTTTAAAATATATGGGGTAGTCAATTAAAGGTAATTTGAACATAATAACAATGACGCCGATGTTTTCCTGAAATTTTCTAGATGATAATGTTGAACAGTTACGTAAACACATATCGTTACATGTTCGAGTTAGCAATTCTGCTCTGTATGCACATGGGAAGCCATTTTTCGTATAACATTGCACAGGTGTAAAAGAGTGCAATATACAGCAAATTCAACATATGCCATGATTGTGCATTTAATAGTGTCGAAAACGGTATTAGATAAAGGTTTGAACCCGTGAATCATGTTCAATTAAGATTACTCATCAGTGTCAGCAAAAATGTGTCTGTCAGAATTACCTTTCCGCTCTGATCAGTTTTCATCATAGATAATGTGCCTACCGTTTTTTAAATTTCGACAGTCTAATCTTCTACATTTGCTTGAACAGCTGTCAGTATCCTGATGTAAATTTCACTCGTGTTCACATCTGATCACAACACACTTGTAATGCTTTCTTATTCCTATACACTGCGCTTTAAGTATTTTCACACTACATCGCGTAAGTCGTTTCAGCTGCATTGACAACAGTGCAGACAACACGTGACGAGTTAAACGCGTTGTAACATGTTTTAGGAAATTTCAAGAAAACAACACGGTAAGCGCAAAACTTTGTATGTACAGACGTCGCAACATAGAAAAAATAGCAGAAACTATACGTTATGCGAAAGTAAAAGGAAAATGAATCAGCTGTAAGATTATTACAATAGTCACATAATAGCAAACAATTAAGACAATTTAAATATATTGTGTTTAAATTGTGATAGTTAAATTGAAAGGATTTTAATGCATAAATTAATTTCTTATAACGTCATCGTTAAACAAATGTAATTTCGTGCATGTTAACGCGATATTAACGTAAAAATATAGAAATGAGCTGCTGCTTGAAACGCGCTATCACAAAGAATCTTCCCAGTGAACTTGCCAAATATAAGTTCCATTGATTAAATAGCATTAAAAGTTTGTTTTGGGCGTTTGAGGGTACCACAACAAAAATTAGTGAGCTACAATGTCAGGAAAATCTAACAGTTGGCAGGAAGAAAACGTTGAGCGCATAAGCAGAAATGTTTGTTAACGAGAAGATACATAACAGTTAAAGATGGAATTGAATCAGGGCTTAGGAATAGAAGTGAGTATTTCAACTATTTGCAGATTCCTTCGTGAGCTTTCCAGTTACATAAACAGAAGCGATTTAATTATGTCAAACCGTATAACGACTGAACATTAAAATACTGAAATAAGATTGCATGATCATATGAGCCCAAAATTAATATAGTTGGATTAGATGGTTGAAAATAAGTAGTGACTACATCGATGATGTCTACAAGGTATCGGGTCGGAAGTTATTAAAAGAAATTTATTGAAGATATATGAACAATAAGCTAATAATCTTCAAGATATGACACTCTTGCGTCAATACACCACTGCCAACTCTTTTTCCAGTCTTCATACGTTACCTGGAACCGCAAGGCTGTTCAGGCACCCTGTCGAAGGCGCTTGGACTGCCTCAATCGTTTCTAAACGGTGTCCTCCAGGCTCCTCTGATACGAGGGAACAAAAAGAAGTCTGAAGGGCCACATCTGAACTGTAGGATGATTGGGGCAACGTTGAGACGTTGTGTTTGGTCTGTGCCTCCCTCACAATTAGCGACGTGTAACTGGGTGCATTGTCTTGATGGAGCATCTAAGTATCGGCGATCTCCTTTCGGAGCGGCAGACCCTATTCTTCGATATTTCATCCACTTTAGAGACATTTTCATCGGTTCGGGTCGCTGTCGGACTTCCAGCGCGTTGTTTGTCTTCGACATCTGCCAGCCATGTTTGAATTTTGAATCATAGAACAGGGAATCATAGAACAGGGTTTTGACATCAAGTTTGGCGGAAAATTGAAGAAATCCGCCACTGAGAGTAAAAACGAAGCCGTGTGTTTCTCAAAACACGAGTTCTGAAAACACATGGCTTCGTTTTTTAAGTCTCACGGATCATATCCAAACTCTCAGTGGCAGATTTCTGCAATTTTTTACAAAATTTCATGCGAAAACGCTGCTTGATAGTTCGCTCTATCTTGACTCTCGACACAAGCACTAAACATACTTCCACTTCGGGCGCGATCTATATACTTTAAAGGCTCAGAGATAACTGAGCCGGGCCTCGTAACTTACATGGCATTCACCACCATCCATCACGACTACAGTAACCGTTTGTGTTGGCAGGAAAATATCAGTTTTGATACTTATTGGACAAACCCTGTATAACTAAGCCACATTGAAATTTGGTAGCAGTCTGGGGCTGTATTTCGTATTTTCGACCTGAAATGCTATGAAATGCAAAATGAAAGGATTTACATTCAATAGATTGGCAAACGTTATTTTCACCGAGATACATTTGTTACAGATTATTTGTTCCAGCCTGTTGATTATTACCACATTGAAAGGACTTCTTTCATTTATGTGCAAGATAATTATCCGAAATACACATGCAGGAGGACAATGTCGTGGCTTCTGGATCAAAATATTAATCTGCTCGTGTGGTTGCCTCAATCACGTAATGTCGACCCAATTGAAAACATCTTGCCCCTCCTTAAACGTTGCTAATTTGTCTGTGTGCAGTTGCACCTGAAAGCATTTCTCAACGCATACGTTTTTTGTATGTTACTATTATTAATTCACTAATTACGTTTCTCACATAATATAATTATATACGTAAGCATGTCATTATATTCATAAATATAAAGTTTTTCGTACTAAATGTGTTTTACAAGATTTTTTAGTTTTTTAAAATAGTCTCCTACGTGCTTTTGAATAATTTTGACACAATGTATATGAATGTGTTCATGAAGTTGATATTGCTAATTTTTTCATTCGCAAAGTTTTTCCAAGTAAGAATGACCTGTGCATTATACTTTTCCTGCTGTTATGTATACAAAACAAAAAATATTTCGTGCATATGTATTCTGTATTTTTCTGTGTGTGTGTGAATTGGCGTCTATATCAATTAATGTTAGTTTCTTCATACCTGACAGTGGAATAAAGTTTAAATTTTTGGCTGGAATGTGAAAGGCATTGAAGCTATTGAATTTTATTGGTGAATGGTAAACAGGGTGCAAACATAGAGAAGTGCCATGTATCTCGTGATGCATAAAACTTAAAGATTTTAATCCTTATTGACGTTTACACTTTTTTAATAAAACTAACCCGTACTTACAAAATTAAATGTTTTTTGCTATTTTAGAATAATTAGAAAAACAAAAACTTTATTAATATAGAAATGTTTTCGAAATAAAACTCACAATAGCTGGGAAAGTTACGCAACTCTCGTTGCTCTATTTTTTATATTGGACTAGCTGCAAGGACCCGCTTCGCTGGGTTTTTATTTGTATGTAATATAGTTTTATATATATATATAAAAGACTGTTTTTCTAAGTAATCTAGAATCTAGCTGCAAGGACCCGCTTCGCTGAACAAAAAGTAACGATAGTGAAGATTAAGATATTTACATTATAGTTAATCTTACACGTTTTCACAGAATGCAAGAATTAGGTCCCCCGTTTCCAGACTAATTAGAGAATTTTTACGTTTAGTCAAACGAACTATTTTCAACGTTTCTAGAACGTTTACAATCGTTATATAATCGAACCAATATTCGAATTTTATGTTCGAATTTAATTCGAACAAATCATTCGAAATAGAAAGCCACTTTCAACTACTTTCAGCCTCATATCTCCCGCACCCTTATAGCTATCGAGACGTAACCCCCATAGTGCACGAATGGAGACTTGGGGCTACCACCACATACAAACACCATTCACGTGCGATGTGTAGTTTTGGGGGAAAAGTGAAATATAGGGACATACATGTCCATTTTTAAATATATATATAGATATAGATATAGTATTTATTTATATTTTTTAAATATTGAAACTGTTTTGTAATTGCAAATATTAGAATTATAAATATTTATGTTTCTTACATCAAAACTTATGACTTTAATCAAACCTTTTCTTTTTATGAAATTTAAATTTTTTAAAATTATATAATAATTTTTATATTTTCGGTTAAATCAAATGATAAAAGCTTATTTTTATATCTAATACTTTATTTCAATTAATAATTAAAATTAATTTTTTTTTATTTGAACTAATTCCATTAAGTCCAATTTTATCCATAACTAGTAAAATAATATCGAAATGTAAAATTATAATAAAATGTGAAACTTGATATAAGTAGATATATCATAATAATATATAGTTGGTTCATAGTACAATTAATTTTATGATTTTTAGGTGGCCTAAAATTGGAATTATAACAATAATCACTTTGAGCTTAATAGGATTTTCTACAACTGCTGTGTTAATTTTAACTTATAACTGCACATTCGTACACGGATATTCCACCGATGTTCAGTAAGTTATTCATTACTACAAATTTTAAGTTAATACTAAAATATGTTTTTCAATATATTGAAGGACGGAACAGTTTGAAATGTATCCAGGACGTTTTAACATAGGGCAATTCATAATTTTTCTGTTTGTTTCTGTTTTGTTCTATTAAAGGAACTATAAACATTCTATTGGTACATGCAGCGTCATATATTATTTTGCCTGTACTATCAATATTCGTTATTACGGAAGACATTATTAGTTCGCTGCGATGTATTGAGGAGATAAGTTTTTATAGCAGGAAATTTGCCTTCAATGACTGAACACACTAACTTCTCTGTTATATAGAAGTGTTATCTGGACCAACTTGACTAGTCTCCAAAAAACAGAGTCTAACGCCGCGAGGATTTGACCCTTTTCACCTATTGCGTGTCGTATGGTGAAGCGAGAGGCTCAAAAGATTTTCCATATATAAGATTATTTTTTTTGTTAATTAAAAAACAATTCCTCTAAGCACTCGAAACACTCCGAAACAATATGTAATAAGCAGAAGTATCGTGCTTAAGACCGTCGTTTTCTATAACTAATACATTATATTTTTATTACTAATGCATTCGCTTATACTTATAATTATCCTCGAGGGTATAGGCATTTTTATTCTTTGTTTTCATTCTATCATCTTCGAAATGTCTTATTTACCCTTGTTATTTTTCTAACAATTTAATTATTGTTATTTTTGTCATATATCAGACAGATGCAATTATATATTTTTTTAATAAGGATTCATGTAGTAAAGTTATAACCTACATTCTCTACTTCTGGTAAACAATGGTGTAAAACAGGGGTGAGCAACCTTTTTAATCAACAAGCCAATTTAAATTTTAAAATCTTTTGGCGGGCCGCACATAAATTAACACTTATTAATAATTTACACAACTTTATTTATAATAAACATTAGAATAAAAATATATAAAATTTAAAAAAAAGTAAAGATTTCATATACAAATTTTAATGCAAAATAAAAACAAACAAGAAAAGAACAGAAAAACGAATTTACTTGAAATTTTTAATGAAAAATTTGGCACTGTTTTTTCGATACAAGCTGATCAATATCAGCCGGAATTGATGAGGTAGCTACACGTACGCAGCTTTCTAATCGTGCATCACTCAGTCTTGATCGGTGGTCATTTTTGATTAATTTCATGGTTGAAAATAATTGTTCGCAAACATACGTACTTCCGAACAGAGACATCATTTGCTTTGCATTTTTCGTCAAAAGCGGAAATTTCTCAGGGCTCACATAAGATTTATAAAAATTTTCGATGTTTACTGAGAAAAATACATTTTTTAAATCGGTATTATTCTGCATGTCAATCACTTCCATTTGAAAGTCTTCGGGAACTGTATCCACATCGATATTAAATGGCGAGGAAAACATTTTCATGGAAACCGCTGTCTTCTCAGCTTTGAACATTTGGAATCGTAATTGAAATTCGTTGATTAAAATGTCTATATATTGTGCGTATTTTTGAGAAGTAGTAACGTTTTCTTTTTCTAAATGTGGAAAGTGAGACACATTATTCTGCAAAAGATGCTGTTTCCACAATTTTAATTTGCGCTCAAAGCCCTGAATTTTATCATACAAATTGTGAATAAACTGTCCTTTGCCTTGAAGTTCCACATTAAGATCATTGAGATGCTGAGTCATGTCGATAAGAAACCCAAAATCGCACATCCATTCTTTATTACCAAAATGAGGAAAGGCATATCCCTTCATATCCAAGAACAATTGTATTTCGCTTTTTAAGTTGTATACTCTTTTTAGCATTGCACCTCTACTAAGCCAACGTACTTCGGTATTAAAAACCACGTCGCCATATTCAGTTTCTAAATCTTTCAGGAATTCTTTAAATTCACGGTGATTTAACGCGCGCGACTTTATAAAATTGATTAGTTTAATTATTGGTACTGTGACATTTGGCAAACTCAATCTTTTCGCACACAAATTTTCCTGGTGAATTATGCAGTGGTTAACGAATATTTCCCTTCCTGTGACCTTCTTAATGTCTTGAAATAGCCTTCCCGATACTCCTACCTCCATGCTTGACATTGCTCGTGCTCCATCTGTCGATATACCAATAATCTTTTCTAATGAAATTGAAAAATTTTCCAACACAGACTTTAGTTCATCGTACAGGTCTTTGCCGGTTGTAGTCCCTTGCATTGGAATCAGTGAACACAATTCTTCGGTAATATTAAATTTGGTGTCAATACCACGTAAAAATATAGCCAGTTGTGCTGTATCGCTAATATCGCAACTCTCATCAAGTGCCAAAGAACAATATTCGAATTTTGCAATGCGTTCACGAAGCGTTGTTGCTATGTTCTCGGACAAGTCTTCAATTCTCCTTGCAATGGTGAATCTTGATAAACTAATGTTTGAAATACAGTGTTACCTCGGTATACGTCTGCTTTAGAATACGTCCAATTCGGAATACATCCTGTTTGGACGAAACAAATTTTGCTCGGTATACGACTTAATTCAATTACGTGCGCCATCTATGAACAAGTAGAACTATCGGTGTACTAGACCAGACTAGACGTTCGTGGTCCCCTGTTTATAACTTTGTTAAATTTCTTCTGATTTTAATTCGTAAGTAAAATTTTATTATTTTTATTAATCGTAAATTGCAAAAAGGCAAATAAAAACCAACAGAGAACTAAAAAAAAAGACTAGAATCACAATGGAACTGAAAAACGAGATTGCTGAGAAATATAAAGGTGGCATGCGAGTTCGAGATTTTAACTGTTGCATACCGTATTCCGAGAACGACGATATCTACAATCTTGAAAAATAAAGATATTATTAAATCTGCTAACGTTGAGAAAGGTGTTAAATCAATTTCTAAGCAGAGATCGAAGACATTAGATCATGTTGAAAAAATGCGTTTGCTTTGGATAACTGAAAAACAATGTGCTGGAGACAGGTATCAGAAGGGTATCAATTATTACAGATATCAATTATTTGCGAGAAAGTTAAAAAGATACATGCTGATCTTATGAAAAATCAAGCAGGAACTAGCCAGGAAAGCGAAGTGTTTAAAGCCAGCTATTTTTTTTACGTGAGAACGGATTAATCATTTTTACATTACTTCTTATGGAAAAGGTTGGTTTGGTATACGTCCTATTCGGTATAAGTCTAAACATCAGGAACGGATTAAGGTCGTATACCGAGGTTCCACTGTAATATTTATTTTATCAGGAAATGCTATTTCTGCAACAGCAGTCCTGGTTAACAGCTTACCAGTCTGACTGATTGTGTGACAGAAGCAAATACAAACAAGCACAGACGCGGCGCGTTCGTATTGCATGTTTGAACAAGTCACCGACAAGTGTGTATCTCGTCACAAAAAATTGTTTCGGTTTAGTATGTACTACCATTTTATTATAAATAATTTTATAACAATATATTGATGGGAGAAAGTCGATAAAATAAATTCAATTTTAAAAATGCTTGGCGGGCCGCATAAACATGTTTAACGGGCCGCGTGTTGCTCATCCCTGGTGTCAAATATTCTGTTGATTTAATTATGTGATGTATAACATTTATGGTACGTTATTTTCAAGGATGACATTCTTTTATCATCTCTCCATCCGCAAACGGTTTCATTTTTTTGCCAGTATTTGACTGACAACAAAACTAGCCTTTACTGCCGTATTTGATAAAATAGCCTGATTTTTAAAAATAGCCTGTTGTTTTCCCAAGTTTTTCTCCATTTGATTAAACATATCTATCCGGAGTTGTCCTGTTAAGTTTTTATACTGTTGTTCATGTTTTCTATCGTAATGCCTTTTTATGTTATATTCTTTTAATGTCGACACAGTCTCTGAGCATA